AATGTGTGTAAAAATTGGCCACAAATTGGTTGCAATCGTCTAATGATTTGCAAAAGCGATTCAATGGTGTGTTCATAGAGTCGTCCATACATTATGTCTTCGCATGGATTATAACAAGCATTCAATTCACGGACACATCTCTCACCACATCTGGCCATCCATTGGCTATCATATCATAGCTTACTCTTGAGTTGGTGTCACATGTATCTGATCCCACACTATATCTATTGTAATGTATAATAAATATATTAAATATAATAAGCATTTAATTATAATTGCATTTATTGTCGTATTTTATGCGAAAAAATGCTTTTTATTTGAAGTTTTGAGACAAACAATGCATGAAATGAAGCGATTGTTTGGCAATTGATTTGTGTCCACTCAAGTGATTATCATCGATGGTCTTAATGTCGGACACGTGTGTAATCCAAGTGACAAACATCGCCCCCACGGCGACCAATGAACAGATGAAGAGTTTGTTCGGCCACTTGGGAACCATCAAAGAGATCGTCGTCTATCCCAATGAGTCGGTCATCCAATTATTTGTCACTCAATCACTGGATTCACTAATGACTTGTTCTTCTTGATTGCAGGGACTCAGCGCTGTCGCCGACCTCTCGGGTCTGTTATATCCGATACGCCGACAGTCAGAGCGTAGCCGTCGCTCAGCACTTGACTAACACTGTGTTTGTCGACAGAGCTCTCATTGTTCTGCCCGTCGACGACGGTATGTCTTAGGCCATATCGTATCTGGCACTGTTCATAATGGGACGTACTTAATATCTCACCTCGATCATTTTAAGCATATTAAACATTATAATACTGTATAACTAGTACCCCGTTTGCCCTAGGTTTGCCCTGAGATACGATTAGTCTTAGGCATCACTTCCAGCCATCACTCGTTGCAATATTCAAATTAATAACTCATTTCCGTGTTTTAGGCAAAATCCCAGACGCGGCCACAGCTTTGAGTTTGACAAACAGTAGATCTCTCGGCGGCGGCAGTAATAGCGGTGTTGTCTCTCAAGTAATAAATCCAGACATCGATAGCATTCGTTAACCAGTAATAAAATTTTTTATTTATCAAAAAATAGGTGACAGGTGTGGGCGGCGCTCAAGTGATCACAACAATTGATCCGCGGCTGACGGCACTCGGTTTACCACAATATCCTCCGCTGCCGGCGAATATGGATCCGACAAAGATTGAAGAAATTCGGCGAACGGTTTACGTCGGGAATCTGTGTTCAACTGTAAGTGTGTTTCGCTTGTATTTTAGTGAATTAGTAGTCAATTGTATTCATTGTATTCATTGTTCGTTTATTATTTCAGTTATCGGCCGAACAGTTGCTTAAGTTCTTCAATCAAATCGGAGAAGTGAAGTACATTCGTATGGCCGGCGATGAGACACAACCGACTCGTTTCTCAT